AAGTAGGTACGATATTCTTGTTCAGGGGATCGAACTACCCCTAGGGACAAATTTTCAGCCAATTTGGTGAGGTATTTTGGCGCCGGCGCCTGTGGCGCGGGCGCCAGGCGGTTTCGTGGCAAGCGATTGTGATATTCGTGTTCACGGCGTCAACCCCACGAGCCAAGTTTTCAAGCTAATTTGGTGATTTACGGTATTTTGGCGCCGGCGCCTGTGGCGCGGGCGCCAGGTAGTTCGTGCCAAGCAGCTGTGGTATTCATTTCAGAGGGACAAGCTACCCCCAGGGACACGTTTACGACAAACTTGGCTGTTCGTCCATCTTTATTCTTAGAAAATATACTGGCAGACACCATTGTCTGCCGTCGTCGTCAACGTGTTAAGCTACATGGGCGGGGAAGGTTCCTATTGTGCACAAGTCAATTTCTAGGATGAAAATGCTCAATAATTAATCATTTTTCCATAGTCTTTTGTCATTTTCTTTCCGGCTAGTAATTGTTTATTTGGATTTGGAAAACTCAGTTTCCAATGGAATGGCTCCGTTCTGGGAAGACGTCGACAATAACAATGCTGATAGTGCGACTGTGAAGAACGCAGCCAGGAGGATTTTATCGGTAATTGTAATTCAACATTCTTAGAAGGCGTCCGAAAGGAAAGGAGTAGATGTGTTCACATTTTAGGTGGATATCAATGCCGACGACGTTGACCCAAGAGCACTGAAGGACTTTCAAGCGAAGGTAGTCGCACGAGTGCGCGATGATCCATTGTACTGTAACACGCCGGCGTGTTTGTCGAATGATGGAAAGCCGGTATGTTGAACCAGTGAGCCGCTTTCTCCACTCTCTGAGCTTACAGGTGGTTGCCCATGGCAAGCCTTCGATACAGGGCACATCACTGGTTGGGAATTTTGGTCGAGTGGGGGGGGAGGGATAAATAGCACATGTGAAACGGGAAAAACTGCGAGGAAAATACGACTCACCTCTCTACCACTTCTCAGATTTTTCCCAACTTCCTACCACTTTTTCCGAAATTCCCCGGAAGTTTTCTTACTTTCACCGAACTGAAACATTTTGCTGTCGAGCGGAGGGGGGATATAGCACGAAAAAACCGGAAAATACAAAAACTCAGCAACCTTTCTTAGAAGGTCAAAAGGCAAGTACGGGGCAACGTTCAGGACCC